GGGGGGGGGGGGGGGGGGGGAGACAGCAAGCCCCTTGAAATATCTTGGACGAGCAAGAGGAACGTTGCACAATCCCGCTGCCTATCCACGCCTCAGTTTTTCCAGGCACGGCATACTCAAGCATGAGACAAAACGGTCCATCCTTCACTGTGAGGATTTCGCAGAGATTCGGAGCGGCCGCTGGAGAGCAAAATCATAGAGCACGGTAGAATATTGCATTAAGCCGCAAACCGACGCAAAAGAAGAGTTGCATAACTTCCTGAGACTGATTAAATGGTAACACTGCGTCGCCTCAGGATAAGAGCGATGTCCCATTTTCCTCGAAAGTTTCCCGCCGATAGATCCACTCCCTAAGTTCCTCATAAATTCTGGTAAAACTGATGCCGTTCGATGTGTTCTGTGATATAAGTGACTGATTGCTTGTATGTATTGTAAACCTAAAGCCACAGTTCACGATAATGGCTTATGAGATATCCCGATAGAATGAATTTGGGTCCTTCTCGCCTACCATACGGCGCTGCCGGGTCGGAAAACGACCTAGATAGGGCCACATACGACATACAAGGAAAGCATAAAGGTTGTCCCGTTTGTATGCGTGGACTAGTCTCAACAACATTGTAGAGGCTGCACCATTCACAAGGGAACCCATGTAGGAAGGTGAAATAAGTCGCCATGACCCATAGCGACAGTGAAAGCAGTTCTGGACAGTTTAGGCTCGATCTAGTCAACTCTTGCGTAATTGCAACACCTGAAAACTCGTCCAGATATACCTTCCATTTAATTTCCGCCATATCAATCTCGAACAACTCTATTTTTACTACTAAATTTTCTAATTTTTCGTGAAACCAAATTTTCTCGCTTCCCTCACCACCGATGCACTATTCCCGACCAATATATTTGCTTCACGGCTCAAGAAGGGTACTTCAAAAATAGCGTGAACTGTGCTTTTCAATTCTGACGAAGGTATTATATACACGAAGGCATTAAATGCAGAAAGCACAGCAGTGAACGACAAGAAACAAGAGATTCGGAAAAACGCAAGAATAAGAAGTCTGGCTGAAGCTCAGAGATGGCAATATTTCGAAAAGTTCCACTTGAGCCAAGCAGAAAACCATTTCTGCCCTTCTCTTTCCTAACATCATTTACAGAGCAGCTTCTCGAGAGAAAACGAAGTCTGGGAGCATGAAAGTGGACAGAGGTCTGAAGCTACTCGTACCTGCCATTTCAAACTGAGAGTGAGGCTTTCTTTGGGTGTTTTCAGAACAGCTCTAGGGAATGCTCTTTTCACCGCGTCAATGACAGCATTACGAGATTCCAATCCTGGTGCGACCATCGATATTGTATAGCTATTCCCAAATCTAAAGTCACAAAGTGAATCTACATGAATTAATTGATTATACAGTCAGAAAATTATAGTTACTGTTATGGGCACCAAGAATATGTTCCTACAGAGGAAGTGACAGATTCCCCATGAAGTATACATGCCCACCTCGATTTCAGCTGCTGGCTCGTCCCAATCGCCACCATTCGGCCCCTGTGTAGAATCGCAATTCGACTACACAACGCTTCACACTCGTCCATGCTATGAGAGGTTAGCAGGAGAGCCGAGTCAGAACTGTCACGTATAATCGACAAGACTTCCCAGATATCACGACGCGCCTGAAAAATATGTGGATCTTTAGGAACTCGATGGTTAGATTCTAATCTTGTATAGAACCAAAGAAGTTTCTATAAAAGTGCTCTCAATTACGCACTTTGGGGTCAATTCCAGCCGTTGGTTCATCCAGGATGATAATTCGTGTTGGAGCGAGCAGCGCTAGTCCAACGCTGATTTTTCGACGTTGCCCTCCACTGAAATTTCCAAAACTATCGTACCATCATAACTTGCTATGAATACCACTCGGCGTGTTTCTAGATTTCATCGTAACTTTGAGGCAGGGACTGGTAAACGAAACATGATGGCCACTGATGGTGATTTAAGAAAAAACATGAGGTTGATAATGACGACAGAGATTGCCGAGAGTTTATGACATATGACAAATCTCTAAAGATACTTGAGCCATGTTGGGGAATCGAAATCATACCTATCAGCGGCATATAAATCATCCATGGATCTCCTTCACTGAAGGTTCTGTCTCTTTGAAGGGTTTTAGCCGGTTGGTGACGAGGCTACTTGGTGCGACTGCCTGTGGCGGATACGAGAGTGGATCGCAAACCAAAACTCATCGGTACTTCCCTGTAGACGCCGCAGGTGGATTCAGGGAACCTCTCTGTACTTTCAATGTGCGAAGGCTTGCATTTGAAGCGTGTATCGAAGATATGATTATGCAAGCTGGGAAAATTAAGTGCGACGTCATCGGTATGCCGAGACGAGAAGGCATCGCCCACTGCACGCCTTTTTCGAGGATGAAGAAGAACTGTTCCTCAGAGCATACGACAGTGGAGTGTCGGAAGTTAAGGAAGATTTGGAAGACAGAAGAGCAGCAGTTTTGGTCGAAGCCGCCGAGGCTGAGAAGTGCATTTGCAAAGCCCGCTGGAGCTTCGTCAATCACAAATTATAATGACTTCCCTCACTTCGTCGTCCTCACGAAATACTGCACCTTGAAAACGATGGGAAGGTCATCGTCGAATTTTACTGGGATATCTTCGACAGTCATGTCTGCCCGCCAACCCACCATTTTAGGCAAGACGCTGGGTTGTTCCTACGGTTCTTCCTTCTGTAATTCAACATGACATCCCGTCGATAAGAGATGTACGGCGCTCAGTCCTGATAGGACCAAAACTGAACATCTGAAGAGCCTTCCGGTAGTTATCGTCAGAACGTCAGAACTCTGACTAGGCTTTCCACGCGGTACCTGACGGAATGCAAAGTTCCCTTTTTTTGAAAACTAGCAAGTCTGTGTTGTTGCATAAAAGGGAAAATAAAAGGGAGATTCAGAGGATATTGACAATTGTCGCCCAACCTTCCTGATAACTGTAATCTATGAACTTTTGACGTCGGTCATCCATCAACAAGAGGATTGGCAGAAAACTATAAGATAAAGGACACCACGCAAATCAAATAGGATTACTGTGCTTTTACGTGCGCCTGTGGAGTTTGGACTATACGAGAACAATTAGTATTCAGTCAGCGTCATTCAACGCGCTGTGGAAAGACTATGCTGCAATTTCCCTGTGCACGCAAGTACAGAAGGAAACCATGAGTTCCGAGCTCCGTCAACGAATGAAGATAAGGGATATCGTTGCTTACGCCAAGGGATCGACGACCAGGTGACGGACATCTTAAGCGATATCGTAATGACCGCTGGACCAGGGCAGTTACTGACTGGATCCCGGCCGCTAGCGCGATTCTCAGATTTTTTCACGAAAGCTCTGAACGAAAGCTATGCTACTGTCAACCTATTACCTCGAAGAAATTGCAGAAAAAGATTGTTTTACTCAGATGTCTTCTCGTAAAAATTAGTGAAAGAATAGGCTTATGGCACATGATTACCTGCAGTATCGCACCAACTTATCCGCGTGATCCGCCATACCAACATTCCGAAGAACAACATCCGCCATGTCAGCTGGTTGCGGAAAACCATGCATACGAGCAAGGATCTATAAGACCAGCTTGAGTTTCTAACCAATCTTCATGAAATCGACCATTAAACAGGCATTCAATGTTGCTATACCAGTGACTTCGGAGCAAGATTACGACTTCTGTGGAAGTTTTCAGGTCTTGTCTTTTACTTTAATTAAACTATAAGCGGTAACAATGGAAGGACGTTCGAAGACGGCTTCAACGAGCAAACAGTTGAGAGGTATGATTAATCTTATACATTACAAGTGAATACCTCTAGAGATTCTCTTCCAGTTAGATCCAAAAGAAGTGCGTCAAATTGAGGGCAATAACCGATGGGCTGAAACGAATAGACAAAATGAAACTTTATCCTTGAACAGTATAAAATGTCCAAAACGACTGTTTGAGAAAGCGGACAAGGTGACCCACGATTTGCTCCGTCACGTCCTGCTTGCCTATTCGAGCGGTTCCAGATGTGGCAAATGATTGTCCTGTGAGTATATCGAAAGTAGTTGTCTTTCCAGCACCGTTTGCACCGAGCAGTCCAAAGCATTCGCTGTTTCGTACACCTAGCGTCAGACCATCAACCGCTCTCAGATGCCCATACATTTTGCACAAATCCTGAAATATCGTGGAATCCTTACTATATATGAAGCGCTCTATCTGTCTGTCCCTGACTGTTTGTTCGGGTGTTTGTACGGAAATTCGATATAACCTGAAGAAGCACCTGGAGAAGACGGGTCAAATTTGGAATGGGTTGAGAATAGGGTAAGTGCAACAGAGCACATGCGAGCCTAGCCGAGCTCCGCCCCCAAAGGGCGGGCCATAAGCCGGAAATGGGCGAGGTCATGGATAAATTCTTCTCATTCGGTCTCAAAATAGTCCAGACGCCTGGAAAATACGCAAGGATGAGGGATGGGTCAACAATTAAAATAAAGGAACCGACGGTGGGCGGAGCGTTCTCGCAGCGGGCGGTACCTTCCACAAAGATTCATAACTCTATTCAACGAAGGCGTCTAAAAAAAGAAAAAATGAAAAGTGTGAGCAAGGCCTCGTGCGTGTTGGGCATGGGTAAGCTTGGCGAAGATCCGCCATGATGGGCGGGGCGTGCGTTGAGGTGAAAGCTACTTTTCAAAAATCGGTGTAACTTTGTTCGGAAACGTTTTAAAAAGCGCGAAAAAAGTGGCTAAAGGTATTGGAATAAATGTGATTAAACCCTCAAAGTGGGCGGAGCTGGCACAAAAAAGCGTGGCAAGGACCAAAAATCCACTTCTTCAGAAACTTTCTAGAATGTGGAGGAAATGTGTTTAGGAACAGTTAAAAGAAGGGTGGTCAAGTTCTTATTGAGGAAAAGGCCTGCACTGAGGTGGATTAAGCCATGATTAACCAGTAATAATTCTGTTCAAATGAAATATGTATATCGAGGAGAACTATCTTATTCTGATCATCCAACATTGAATGACTCCATCGTAGAAAGCGGTCTTCGACATATGCGCTCACCTTCACCTCCAGCGCCAAATCGTCGCCAGATTGCTGCACGCTCATTCGCTCTTCAGAAACTGCTCTGTCTTCATCATCGTTAGCGACCTGAAAGCAACGACTAATTGATTCAAAACTTCATAAAAAAAATTAGATAAAAGAAACACGTACTCTGCCATAGTTCCTACGCCCATATCGCAAATCCCAAAGTTGGAACCATCTATATCTCACGATTTTGAATTGGAACATCAGAAAGAGCAATGAGGAAAAGCAGCCGAATATCAGCATGAATGTTAAATTCTTACCTGAATTATCACCTTAATGATTGCGCTATCTCCAGAAAAAAAGACCAGCAAAAAAGTACGTTTCCAAAAAATTACTACAATTCGATTTATTGCCATTTCAAAAAACGCTTACTTACATGGGAAATATTTAATATATCAAATCAAAGCGGTTACATGAAAATAACTTACCAAGCATGTTCCATTCCCAAAGTACACTTGGCGGAGACTTCTCAGCTGAAACTGTTCCCACCGTCATCACAGCATTGCCGAGAGCGAATGAGGGCAGCAAACACAGTAGTAATGACTATAAAGAATGTATGTCTAGCAGGAGTTTAATAACTTGGAATTCTGACAAAGAAAAACGGAATGACTATGGCGTAACTTTATTAGAATAGCCATTCGACCTGAGAAGATGCCTCAGCAATAAGAACAATAAGAAATGAAGTTCTTCGTTACCCTGATGATTTCGCTGATTGTTGGCTGTAGAATTTCACCAAGTACAAAAATAAATATGAACATCATAGCAGCAAATGCAGCCACCAACTGCCAGAGAATCAGTAAAACGTTCGCCTTCGATGGCGATGAAAACATGAAGGACACGGCGTAAATGAACGGGACACATGACCAAAAGTATAGAGCAAACAACAGGATCACGCTGAAAGTAAACCGAGAGAATCTTCATTTCTCTTTTTTCTCCTTTTACAGCTAGGCATACAAAAAATCTAATGATAGAGAAATGCTAAAAAAATTGAACTTACAATCCGAGATACCCTTGCATCCAACCACATATTATGAACACTGCCAAGAAACATGCGCAAATAATGGAGTAGAAGAGGAAATCGAATAGGAACGAGGATGCCCAGAATAAGACTGGAGATATACCCGTCAAGGACTGCTGAAATTTTGAAGCTTGACCGCATGGGAATTGGCAATCCCAGCAGTGCACTTTAGATAGTTTGGATCTCAGTGATCCAACAGACTTTTCCATTTTACGATCGGAAGGCATTTTGCGTAAAACAAGCCGAGTGAATAAATAAATGTAGTAAACTAACAACACAAAAGAAAACGGACCTGGTGCGCAAATTTGCTGACACGCTCTTCCACTAGGAAAATGACAAAAGGTGATGTTACAAGCGCCAAGGCCAAAACTAGGAATGGTCCCAGCAAGGCGTCCACCACTCCTTGACTCACAACACGTGATGGTCCGCTGCCCGTCGAAATATTGGAAGAATAAGCAAGCAGTTGTGTACGGATCCTTCCATCAGATGCTGAAAGGCGCTAATCTCAGTTCGTCAACTCACATCGAATAGCTGTTTAATATGACTACATATACTTGAATATGGAATTTTCTCCAGAAACCAAGGGGTCTTCGAGGAAGGCGGATTAGCTGAAACGACGTAGGAGATTGACAATTACTTTGAACAGCTAACGCTTAAATGATTCACTGAATTGTTAACCATCCGAAGAAAATGTCAATTTCTTGCGTCGTTGTTTTAATACAATCATTGAAATCGAGTAGCCCACAATTAATTCAAGTCAAATGGTCGTGCTCACCATCTGTTTCACTTTTCAGACGTGCATTGTCGTAGGCGTTTAATGAAGTTGGCAATGAATGGTACGCTCGGGAGTTGAAGAGCACTTCGACAGCGTTCCTGGCGAACACCGCGCCGAACCCAGCAGCTGGCAGTTGCTTTGGCAAATGCTCTACCCAGGTGGTCAAGTTGTCATCAGGACCGAGCTCATAGACCTGAACATAAATGAGCAATAGAAACATTGGACAAAGACAAAGCGACAACACTGAACAATAAAAATACACCTGAGATTTTGGTCCCTTCGATACGACATCGATATATGCGCTCACTATCGGAGACCTTTGGTCCACCTTCACAGGAATGCGTGATGGACCGAACGTCGCTACAGAAAATATCCGCTCTGAATTTATTAAATATACATCAGAAAAAAAAGCAAGAGGAGAGATGAAGAAAGGAAAAGTGATCCGAATATCGGGACCAGGAATTTCAAAAACTAGCCTTTGTCGCCATTTAGCTGCTTCTGAATTCCTGACAGGTAACCGATCAAAATCAAAATTCCAAGTGGAATTAACACTTGTCCAATCAATTGTGACCAATTTCTAACACAGTAGAGAAATCTTTTAGCAAAAATGGCACGTAATTGGGCAAACATCAGCGAATAGCCTGTTTGGCGAACCGCTGAAAATGAATCGCATAATCACGCATCATGAGCAAATTAAAAAGTTTCTATATTCTCTGCATCACCAGATGACATTACAGGGATTAGAAAAATTAAGGTACTAGGAAGGAAGCAGGGAACACGGTCTCCATGCTGGCAAAGATCAAAATTTACCTCGCTGTGCTTGAATCAACTCTTCACTGCGACTAATACTGGCATCTACAAAATCAATCATATCGTTCGGATCGGTATTTTCAGCCACTTTTAGAAATACCTGAAAGAATTCAGGAGACCCTAGGGCACGAACACGGCGGTAGATGGACAGAGATATGAAACAAAAAATGAAAACCTAGCAAGACATGTAATCAAAAGCGAACCTGTTCCAAGGTGTTCAGCGATAAACCAAAACTGGTAATCTTCAGGGAATCCTTGGACCTTTCCAGGTACTCGAACAGTTGTGGAAAACTGCAAACAGTATAAAATGAGGACGTGGAAATACAACATAGAAAAATTTTGGTAAAACATGACCTATTAATTTCAATGATCAAGTAAAACACAAAGAAACAACCATAACGAATTGGTTCGGAATCTCACCTTTCTTGCTGTTCTTTCGGTAGGATAATTTCGAATTGTTTTCCGTGAACTTTTCCTCTTTCGGCTCCAGGGATGTATCTTGCAGCGGTGCGAGTTAATGTTTCTGCAACGTCTTGAGCGCTTGCCTTCTCAGCGGCCACGACCGTCATCACATAGCCGGTTCCAAATCTGTATTAATGCTCACATAGTAAAAGTTCAATCGAAAGATGAGAACTGCGTCGTAGTCCAACCTTTTCTTCAAAAACTGCGGTGTCCCACAGCAGTACACTCTACCACTGGCCATGATTGCAACACGATCTCCTAGCAGTTCTGCTTCATCCATATAATGTGTAGTAAGCAGAACTGTTCTGAATGATATTCAATGCTTGCAGGTCTCCTCTAGAGCTCGCAGTTTCATGGAAAACCAACCGATCCACTTTAATCGTTTCCAGAAGCGCCTCTACATCTCTTCGAGCACCTGGATCCATACCAGCTGTTGGTTCATCCAGCAACACCACGGAACTGTGACCGATCACCGCCATCGACACGGAAAGCTTACGCTTCTGACCGCCGGAGAGATTCATTGCGAGCTAAAAACCTTACTCGTTAGAGAATGGACAGTCGAAGTATAATACATATAGCTGCTTTCATTTAACAACTACCGACCTCGTTGGCTTTCTCATCCAATTTAAGTTGGTCAAGCAGCTGTTGCGCTTCCACCCTATAAGAGCCACTCGCTCCCTTAAGCCCATGAATAAGCCAAAGGTGCTCATCGACTGTTAATTTGTTGAAAAGCGCATTCGCTTGTGGGCACAAGCCGATTCGCTTACGGGACTCTGACCGATGCTTCTGCACGTCCAGATCACAGATGAAGACCTTTCCTAAACAACTGGACGGAAGTTCACGTATAAGTGTAGCTGTCGAGACCGCCACTTTTTCGAAGTTTAAAGGGGTTTCCTAAAGATCGTTTCTCTCAGACCCTCAGGAAAGTATTGGCAAGACAGCAGCCCTCGATTTGTCTACACTTTGAATTCTAATGACGCACCTGCTGTCGGAGCTGTTATTCCACAGATAACCGAAAATGTGGTACTTTTACCAGCGCCATTCTGCCCAAGTAGTACCGTGACCTTAACGAAATTGTAAAAAAAAACGAATATGTATCTCAGGCACTACTAGATCATCCTGTTCGAGATCACCTTGTCAACATAGGCGATGGCCCGAATAAAAAATCAGCTACACCACAGCAACTACAACTTTTCTAGCATAACCAAGGTGTCCAAATCTATGCTTCGTGATTGCCTATTACTCAGTGTGTCTTGAGGAACTCTAATATTGAATCTCCTTAAACTTTAATATATTATGCTTACCTGTCCCACATACGCTTCCAGCGACATACCGTCAACAGCACGCTCTCCTGTTGAAGACCAAATCTAAAAATTGACCATATTATCAGCCTGAGAATATACTGAAACTCACAGAATGACAAATCTAATATTTCGTAGGATGACTGAAGCAGGACACTACTTACTGCTTGCGCATAACATGACCGGATCCCTCTTTATTACTAATTTAACCCTATAACGACCTAACTCTTTCTCCTACCTCGACAGGCTGCTTTACATATTCGAATTCGCCACTCGGCTGCTGAAGCCCATTGGAACTTAAGCCAATATTTCAACTATAGCCTTTTGGAGCGATTCATTGCGGTTCGTTAAAAGGTTTTAAAATCTACAACATGAAGGTCGAGAATGAACCTCGATCTGACCAAACGATCACGATCTCCTGTAATATCCGGGTATGTAATACGCTCACAGCGAACAGGGTCCTTTTATAACCTTACTATGAAACCTACAGATCATTCCAAACTCCTCCAAAATTTTCAGTCGTTTTTTGAATGAAGGACCTTCTAGACCTATTGCTTACTGTCTAAGATGTCTGAGATGGGAGGAAAAAAGGAGCCAACATCAAAAATTTCTGTTCGAAACATTCTACAGGAAAATTAGAGAAATCTGAATCTCCAGAAAATGAAACAAAACACTAAGCCTGACCTTGATAAGACGCTGCACCGAAATACCTGCTCGCGTCTTCAACAGTCCTTCGTCGGTCTCATTGTTGCCATCAATTTGTTCCAGACGAGTGGAAGACCCACTCAGGTACTGTAAAATAATAGCGGTTCACGAAAAGTTGGGAAGTGCTCCTACATAAGAGCGTTTGAAGAAGGAGCGATGTGAAAGGAAGATTAGCAAGGTCGAAAAATCGTTGAACAACCTTGTTGCCGAATGGCAGTTTGAAAAACGTGAAGTCGCTATCACTGAACATGAAGTCAAAGAGCAGCGTCGCCACGCTCATCCAGATAATATCCACAAGCAGCATAATCAACGCGGCTCCAGCCGTAAAATGGAATGTGCCATCTTCGAAGCAGTTTGACCACGATAATTCGCGACCTAAAAAGAAGGGCTAAAGGTCTCATTCAAATGGGCACAGTGAAAGCATAGTTACTATACTTGCCGCGATTCATGTAGTCGGCGAAGGTATTGAGAGCATAGAAGAGAGCTGCATTCGGGTTCAGCGAGTACAGGGTACAGAAAAGAATCTGATCGACCCGTGGAGCTCGGAAACGCGCCGCAACCAATATAACCCACAACACGATTACCACTGAAATATCATGTAGAGGAAAAGCTATGCTAACATTCGCAGACTACACTACACTATCTCAACACGCAGCGATTAGGAGCTGAGTGGCGTCAAGTGGCGCATTATCTCACACACATGGTTACAGGTTCGAATCCCGCATCGGTATTCGCGTAAGCCAAACATGCCTTCCATCCCTCCGGGGTTGGTTGATTAGTCCAGACCGGTCTGGGAAGATAAGAGCACTGACTCCTACATTGGCTGGCCACCGCAAGTCATTGTATAGGTCGCATACGCATTCAACAAGCCACTACGATTCCGAATGGGAGACGAGTGATTTTTCTCCGCAATTCTTCTTGACACATGTAAAATAAGATCTTAGCACTTCTACTATTGGGATGAACAGTCCTTTGAAACACACTCAGACTTAGAGCTGAGATAGCACCTTTCGAGCCTTTTCATGGGGGTGACCCATTGCACACTGATTCGTTGTTGAGAAAGCGGAGGATAGGGATGAGGCAAAGAGTCAAGCCGGAGCAACTGGTAAATGTTTTGAGCACGTTTGGCCTTTGGCTGGAATCTATTTACCCATCTTGATGGTAACAAATTTTAGGCAAAGGCGATACATCACAGCTTTTTTCAGGCTCCATTTTGGGTAAGATAGTTATTTACAATAAAATGAAATGAAGAGGATTGGTCTTTTTCAAAGCACCTCCCAAAAGCCTATTAAAAGGGGTTATTTACAGTAGCGGACTTCCATGAGAAAAAAAAAGACTACGAGAGAACGAAAAACCTTTCAAAACGGAGTTTGGTGTCTTGAAGAGAGAGGATATAAGCGCTGCAAAAACAACCGCCGATATTCCATACAGCATTATCGTAACGAGAAAGAGTGACGCGCTCACATGCTGAAATAAACGGATTGGAAAGGAGTTCTCAACATAAACGACTCACAATTTGCAAACTGTAAGAGGTGCTGAACTATTAGATTTCACCAAACCAATGCTTTCAAGCATGAGTTGGTTGTTTACAACAATATTTTCTTGTACATCTGTTGCTACTTCATCCTTTTTTACTTTAATAAAATTGCAGATTTCGTACACTTAGCAAGGACACAATTCGGCAAGGTCTCTTCGAAACTACAGCTATTGGTAGCTTAACTTGTCGGCTTCACATAGACGGAAGCAGAAGACAACATTTCTGCTGCTGTACGACCTGTCCTGCCTGTCATCCGAATGCCCTGGGTATGGGCTGGGTAAGAACTTCTCACTGCGTTCGAGCTACAATATCGGTCATTGCCATTGACCTCATTGCAAACCAAATGATCAAAATTTTGTGGTATTTGTTGTCGTGGATTTGTGTTCTTTGGTATATATTCTGTTCTATTATATTATATTCTGCCTTCCATTCTGTTTTGAGGAATGTCCTACATTACCCAACATCCGTGGGTGTGGGTGATTATACCAAAGAACACAAATCCTACACGACAACAAATACAAAATTTTGATCATTTGGTTTGCAGTGAGGTCAATGCCAATGACTGATACAACAGCTTGTCTCCCAATCAGCCACAGCCACGGGAGAAAGTCATAATTCAAAAAATTGAGTTTTGGCACGAAAAAGAAGTGGGCAACTACTTTTCTCAGAATTGCGCCAACGATTCCAGGTTTTGAGTGGAAAAAGGTATCGACACAAAAAAAGGTTAATAAATATCCAAAAACCAAACCTAAGTTTGTAAGCATTAGCATAAACTTACTCCAAGATGAGCGGTGAGCGGAATAGCGCCTATCAAAAATACGATAAAGCATTTCACTGTAGCATAAAGCAAATGCGAAAGATAGAAAACCGGAGTCGAAAGACCCATAACGGATAGAAAATCCTGAATGTGCTTGTAGAATATCGAACTTTCAAAATCACCATCGTAGGTAACTGACCTTTACCGTGCTCTTCTCACTGACTATCTCTCTTGCTGTATGAATGACTAACACGAACACGCAAAGACCCCAGACGTACGAAGAGATTGATAGGAAAACTGCGATACTATTCGAGTTGTACGTAGCCTCAGGCATACGCCTTAGACGCAGTTCTGGTGGAATCGTGACCTTTGCTGTGGAAGCCTGAACGAAACGCTTGACTAAAAGAACATATCAAAACAGGCAACATCTAAGTTTCAGCAAATCAACCTCAATAAATAGACTATCAATAGCATATTGAATTGATAGAAAAGCCGACGACCAGTAGGGAGGTTTACCAGGAATCCTGAACAGAGAAAAACGCATGAAAACTCATAGGATATTTCTTCAAATCTTTATTGACATCACTATGCCTGCCTTAAGCGATTACGTTCGGAATATGAACTTATTTGGTCTTACATTAACTGCTACACTTATTCCATATCGACTGATATATTCATTTTGGCAAACACAGTTTGAGGAATGATTTCTGCTGGAAGGTTTGTGAGAACGTCGTACTTTCCACACGAGCCATCTTCAACAAGTCCGGCAGAGTATTCGATGAAGCACAGCCATACGAACTAGGATGGTATCGGAAATGGTCTAGCACAGTAGATCACATCCACACTGTCACAACTCATCGACAATCGTGAAAGTGCAGGACGAAGTTATGCCTTACGTTCATCTATTTGAATTAGGCCTTTTAGACCGTCGGGACAGACAGAAGAAGAGACAGTAATTGAAGCCTTGGGCAACCATGGTGTTCCAATTCATTATACGAGGTGACGTCGCGAGCTCTCTTACAACTTCACGGTCAAAGTCTCATCATTTATTCTACAAGCAATTTATCTCAACGTGAATTGAGAGGGTTGGGAGGACGACACCCCCTCGAAGATATCGTTATTTAGAATGGAAACCCAGTAGAGTGAAGGTCGGGCCGATACTAACGGCATCTCCGCCATCGAGCAGGCGGTACGAAATAAATGAATATCTTACATATTATTCCGAATCACCTGTTGTAATCGTTGTTAGGTCCGAAAGGTTCATCCCATTCCTTATCGAGATTCCATAAATCATCACTCTCAGAACCAGAGGGTATGAGTATTTTATAGTCCAGCTTACCAGTTTTTGTGTCAAACTGGTTGAATATTACACCGCCTGCGAATCTGGAATGGATTCATCATAAATTGGACGGAACTAACATGGAAAAATTCGGGAAACCGAATTGTTAAGGACTAACTTATTGATGGAGCACCCGTACTGTGTGCTATTGGGAGCGTCTGCACGAAGTTCATCGAGCACCTGCGCCTCGTCTTTTAAGTTCACCACTTGCACTGTAAGAAGTGAACTGCTGAATCGAGCGGCCAGTTTGTTCATTAGGGCCTCCACGGAATCCTGATTTTGACGTGTGCTAAAACAAAATGAGTTTCTCAAAAAATTGAATGAAAGAAAAGTAACCCATAAATGAAGTTGTATGATCAACCTTCCACTAAAGAAGAGAACAAAACTGTAAACTTACGAATAAGCTATGGAGACTTGTTGACGATTACACCATCGCGTTCGTATGGAAGCTACGAAACCAACAGTGCGAGCGATGTCTCCAGCTCCACCTTCCAGAGTTACAGCGCCAAACGACCTACCTGGGGACAGTTGCACGTTGCCGCTCTGAAGATCTTAGTATTTTAAAAACAAGGTATTTATTAGTCTACTGATCACTGAGTGACTTGAATTCAAGTCAGTTCCGAAGCAGTTTGATGGGACTGTCGCCTAGGCTGTTTACACTTGATGTACCAGCTTAAAACAAAACATTTCAGTGAATTGAACCGAGGAATAGACACTGGTTCATTGAAAAAGTACCATCAACCGCAATAAACAAAAACTAGAGTAGACAAACATAAACTGACCCTCACAACGAGCAATATAACTGGAAGTAGGAATAAAGTCGGTAGAATCACTTCGAATAACGTCCATACTTTATTACGCCGAATAAGAATTAGATTTTTGCGTGTCAGCAGCCATAATTGCCGCAAACAGTCACACATGCCGTTGACTGAATGCTGCCGCTACACCAACCTCTGAAAAATTCTTAGTACACAATAGGTTATCATGGAACAAGAGTGATTTCGAAAGCGAGCAGCTCGAGCAGAATGACGAAAATTGTAGGAAATAAAGGTAAAGCAACCGTGGCGTGGGCAAAGCTGGAAAAATGAGCAGAAAGGAACGAACTAAAGACGTAATGTAGTAGCGCATCAGCACCAACATCAGATGCAAAAATGAAAAAAAACTGACTTACATATGAGACTAATCGCTAAAAAATCGAGCAAAAGAAGAAGTTTCAATCGTTACCGTCCAATTAAGAGCAGAAAAATTAAGATCATAATGCTGTTCCATTAAAAAAGAAACTACAATTTTGATTCGTTTGCAGCTGTTACCAGTGGTAGAATGCAAATACAGCCGATCCAATCTAATTCAGCCTTCCACCACGGTCACAAAGCCTACAGCTCAGAGCAAAATTAATAACATTTTCACTAGATCTTTTCGCTTGGATCCAGAACACCTTAAGCTAACGTCTTAAACCTTTATATTTAAAGAATTCCTAACTAATAACAACTTAGAAGTCTGAAAACGCTCTTATTTGCAAACACATCAACACTGTGGTAACAAAATACTGGTTTAGTTGCTTTCAATACGTTCAATCCTCGATACCTGCAAGTGGATGGCTTACACAACAACAGGATGAGTCATCAAAGAAAAAAGGTCGAGGCCGTTTCATGCACTTCCCATAAGGGCAGTGACGAACAGGAATTCAAATAATCGATGACTCAAACTAGGCAACCCTTGTTTTTTATATACAGACGAATGTTTATCTTTCTCCACTCTTACATCAATAAAAATGTTGCATGCACAAATGAAATCACAGAAGTTTTGCAACACCTACAGCAACTCGTCGGATTGTTGTTCAAGGTAGAATGGACATCATATTTCACCCAGTCGAACGGAACGGCAGCTCAAACGAGTGTGTTTTCTAGAATGTGGTGGTGAAGAGCGCCAAAAAACAGCAACAGAACAGGTGATACAGACGGTATGTATACCAGGCAAACTCATAACAAATGTTTTGGGGCAGCAGCCATGGCGCACTTCCAACTTGCTGGTAGACAATAAACACTTGTACGCAATGAGAAACACCAAAGGAACAAAGAAGAACAAATCAGGATTGGAAGGAACGTTCAGCAAAGATTTGCGGGTTCTCCACGATAAGACCTTCTGGAAGAATGAAGAAGAGATGACCTGATATGACATGGGCATTGTAAAAATGCCACAGCGTTTACAAAAATGCATCGATCGAAATGAGTTAGGCAGTAGAGAAAAGGAACGAATCAAACTTCGAGTTTCGCAACACAAGAAGGACTTTGAGCTTCTTCTCCATTATTCTTACTTTTGAAAGCAGGACGAACGACGGGAACACCGGAAACGTTTCCGAACCACTATAAAGCAAAAGGCATTCTAGGCAAAAAAATTGTGACTGAGATTCACTGAATAACTCGTGACTTTGATAGTTTTTTGAGTTTTGGGTGCATATTACGTGATATTAAATTAGATGTTGTTCTATTTCATAACTTGTGAATCTACATTTCGAAACAAAATTCCGATTTCAAATGCCTCACTGATGACCAAAAACTAAAACCGAACCAAAGTGAAGGAAATGCTAATAAAACCTACGATGTTCTAATATCACAGAAAGCTGACAATCTGAAGAATGTGGTCAAGTAAGAAACTAAACAAAGCCACGAGGACAAAAATGTATCTACGCCTTCCCTCAGGTATGCCTCCATTTCTTCACACAGATAAAGTCTTAGCGGCAGGATGGAAACTCTCACGGCTGGTGGCACAACCGGACTCCGCCTACAGAGGAGGGAGTTCCCAAGGACCAGGTGCGTTGAAATTTGGTAGGAGTACAGGTAGCAAGATAGGAACTCTTATGGTGGGTGGCAATTGTTTCAAAGAAGGAGTAGAGAACCGATTACTACAGCTTCGTAGAAAGAGAAGAAGCCCAGCGTTAGCCGGGCGAACCGATTGGTTCCATTATTCATCCGTTGGTCGACTTAAATGAAAGTCAAATGAAAATAGATCAAAAAAACAAACTAGTGCGTTTCATTTTGCAGACCCGACACAAGGCATGCAACTTGCTTGTTAGATCGATAGATAAGATCAGAAGTCCAGCATGAGAGGAGGACAGAAGGGCTTCCTGAGTTTCGTAACCTAAACTCTTCATCGAACATGAAAAATGGCTCTTCCCCCCAGAAATTTATGAATTAAAATTGAAGGCAAACTCTTTTCCAAACCATCTGGTGATGTATCATAACACTACAAACGATAGTGCACTTCAATAACAAAAGCAATACCCAACGACGCTGCCCTATGACAAACAGTTGGACACGAGAGATGAGAGGTTGATAAGTATAGACAATTTTCCCCCAAGTTTAAAGAAGAGAGCTTAACTTAAACTCATCAGGATTTGATGAAAGCCAAACGAGTTGAGTAAACACAAAACTTTTTTGCCTATACGAGTGCCAGAAGTAGTTATAAACAAGCGGGAATGAAGGCACTATTGCAGACACTTTCAAGTGTAGGGAAATCTCATTATTTCCCTTAAACAACTTTTACCGCAAACGCACTAACTACATGACCTCTCGCAACCACCACTTCATTTTCCCATGTCGTCATGAGCGCCACTGAAATTCATGACAGATAAACAGTTGAGGAATGCAGAAGCCAGAGAGCGGTCTCACGATGACATTCTACGCTCCAAATAAAAATCGATAATAGAAAAAACATTATCAGAAGTTTGCTTTGACTGCTACCAGCAATAACGACAACTCACATTTCCCAATAAGAACAAGTCTTGAAAATTAACGATACTGCGCTAGAGACTATAAACCCGAGTATTCAGTGACCAGCGCTGAGGAAAAGGAGATGGTTCAAACTATCAGATTACCCTCTCTATGAGTAACACCTCGAAAATACCGCGTTGCTTGCTCATTGGTAGTAACGAGAAGGTGAAATGGTCAGGTAGATCACATGGGACAACGGCAAATGGAGAAACAGGTAATTGCGAATTGATGAACTCGCCTCAAACACCGAAAAGAGCAAAAGTGCTTGAAACAAAAAGATTACTGGTCACGCGATAAGCATTCCGAAAGGCTCGAGAAATCGGAAGCCACAACAGGTGATCGTAATCACCAAGCTGAAGCACACCGCCATGAATCTTGGACCGATCACCGTTTAATGGTTGGCAATGTACTGAATCATCCGAATCGATCGATTCGGGGGATTAAATCCTATAACGCACAAAACAAGGCAAATTAGTGAAAGACTCCTCTCGTGAGGACTTTGAGAAAAGAAGAGGAATGTTTTGATTTCTAATCTGACGGTAAGCCAAACTGATCCTATAAACCTACATCGGAACCCATACCCAAGTGACTTTTCTGGAGCTGAATGTGCCTGTGGGGTCGTTCTATCCAAAAAATTAAAATCACAGTGACGAAGCAATTCTCTACTCCCCCTGACGGTAATCTTTCAAAATGCACAAGCTAGCCAAGACATGAATGACAACACAATTGTACGAAAAATGAGGATGGGTCATAACCACTGTATTAAACACCTTTAATGCTACCAGAAATACTGATGAAATTTTTATTATACTATGTGATAAAAATGTGACCGTGAATAACAAGAAATCAATAAATATATTTGAATCGGAAATCGATGGTGTACAAAAACTAGATAGATTGTGGAACACTAACCTTTAAGACATGCACAAATTTCGAACAACAGATATCGATCACATACTGGTGGTTACATCCAAAGGAGCAGAGTAATCTGTGTCGGGATCAAAGGAACAACTACGTACGATTGTACCAAAGAGAACGCAAATCAACCTGGATACAATATGAACGGAAACAGACAGAAAGAGCACCACACATCGTCCACGCTCAATTCACCACCTACACTTGATAAAAAGCGCGAACACTTGGCGTTTAGTAGCCAGGAAATGGCACGCACAACATTTCAGATATAATCTACATGAAGGGACCGGGAACGCCTGGATGAGGTGGTTGTGGAACGTACTGCGGCTGCACATATGGGTTTTGAGGAGGAGCAAACGCCATCGGAGGCATCGGCGCACCGCCATATGTCAGCATCAATTGGGGTTCCACTGAAAATACTTCTTTGGTTTGGATTATAGCTGATAACAAATGTCAGGTGGAAAGATCATCGTGAATATTGGATCAACAGAAACAGGATCTAGAATGCGTCAAGAAACATGTATGTCATATTTTTCAAAGTTTCTTCGTTAGATTCCTGGAAACTCAGGGGTGACGGCCCTCATTAACATGACATTAAATTAAAAAAGGAACATGCAGTAGAGACATGAGTTCCGATTTTTAACAAGCGCCGGGCCCACTTTATCAGAGAGAGAATTGACCTAATAAGGTTGCATAAGAAGCGTCTAATATGAAAGCACTTAAGATTTCATTCCGTAATGGCTTTCGCAAGGGTGAAACAACAGCTACACTGTTATCTTCATAGGCTTGTACATGAATTGCTTGAAAATAAATAAAGAAAACTAACTGGTCATGCCATTTTGTTGCTGCTGTTCTCGCTGTTCATCCTTTCGCTCCGCCTCTGCGCGTTCCAAACGTTCGATCTGTAAGCATAACGAATCAATTGTAGGAGTAGTTAACGTGCTTTAAAATGTTGAGGTAGCGGAACCTACACGGATTTGGAAGTCGCGGAACACTTGCACCATATAGGGCATAGCGTAGTCGGTAATTTTGTTTTTCCATGCCAGCTCGAGGATTACGTGGGGATGTAAAAGATCATAACAGTGGTATAGGGCGGCAGCAAAACATTCGTAAAGACGCTCGTCGAGGAAGAAAGCGATTAACTCCTCAGCTAGCTCGCTAGACCTCGACTCAGCTGCATACTCCATCGCGTCCTAAACAACGAACAATAACCCCTCCATCGAAACTCCACAAACTCGCAAACGCTACCTTGTACAACTTGTCTTTCTTACAAAGCTCGATCGATTGTTTCCATCGGTTATTACCCTTGAAGAGATATGCAGAAATTCGTCTGAACTCGACAAGCGGGTGGTTCTCCAATTGTTGTGCCAACGCAATGTTATCGAAATTGTCATGCGAATCAATCGACGCACGCAAACCAGCATGGTCTTCCTAAACGCTTGACAGTTACATAAGAACACTAGTGAGCTTTACTATGGAAACAGCGAGAACGGATTGCGACCTGTAAAGTCTACAAAATGAAGTTCCGCTGTTGCCATAAATGTGTGGCAATGGCGGATGTTCATTCTGTAGACGATCTAGAAATGATTTGTTCAAATTTAGACGACTTACTTCATCGATAAGCAGTTGATTCAATGCCTCATTGATTGCTTTGTTGTTAAGATTCTGAACTTGCTTCAGGTATGGTTTGATAAGTGGGATATGCTTCACTGAAACAAAGGTATATCATATATCAGGAAAACATTCATTGCCATTCTTCGAAAGACTGTGAAACAAAATGCATTCGAACAGCCCTCTAATCGTAATCATCGTAACCACCAAATCTATATGAAACCGAGAGATTATTACTAAAACAAACCTTCACATGGCATATTTCCGAAAGGTAAGGTTGGAAAAAAGAGTAAATATATAAAACCTCGCAATGGCGAGATCTGATTATGAATGACTACAAGCTTTGAGAATAAACAAAACACTTACGCTTCGAGAAGAACTGCACAGTTCGAGAATGATCAAGCCGAGGAGAGAGCACCGCCAGCAAGTCGTTTATAAGCAATGGCTTATAATCCAAATAAAACTGCATAGCTTTATAATACAATTCAACGTTGGCAACCTGAATGTGTGTTTTTGAGTTAGTTGTAAAATAAAAAAATGTAATGTAAGCGTAGTTCGAACCTTGGCGATAACTTCCTTGAAATGCTGCTCCCTCCATGATTCCGTAGGATGCTGCATCATGGTGAGCGCGGCATTATCGAATTCTTCGTATTTGTCGTACAGGAACACCAATTCTGCCCACAAATGAGCATGTTCGGCAGCACGCAACACTTTCGGAATGTTCACTCGGCTCCAGAACAGCTCCAAGTGCTCACGCATCTTCTCCGGCTTATATTTACTGTACAGGATAGCCAGTTCGGTGAACATACCCATGTGAGCTCGTTCCAAACCCAGTGCCGCCTCAAGAAGGCCTAAAAACTAGTTTACATAGGCTAGCTCTATCTATAATAGTAATGGTCCTTCACAGAGACAGTGATTTCCGGGAAGAAAAAACGAATGGTCGAAAAGAAAAATAGTTCGTACCGATCAATTCTTCAAAGTGTCCGCGATCTTGGTAAAAGTTGTTCAGTTCCTCCAGTTCATCTGCATGTACAACAATGTGCAGGCCGCACATTTGAGCTAGACGGAACTCCCCGTTTTCAACGCATGCAAAGCATACCTAAACATGAAGGCACTTAAAATTCAGAAGTATTGTACTTGACCTTAAAGAAGATTTTCGTTAGTTTACAATTCCACTTCAGTAAACCACGACTCAACAACTGCACCTTGAATAACACATGCATGATATACTGGGGAATCCATCAAAATTTAGACATAAAAGGAAATATTAAGAAACCACTCACTTGCTTCCATGTCTTCGTGCTATTCGCCTTTCGAGCAGCATCCACAGCTCCTTGGTACTCTCCAAGACGAACAAGGGTGACAGACAATTTGGCGAAGTTAGAAATATTGTTGAAAAGAATTTTGGCCGCCTCGTACATGCCATTATCAAAGCATCGATCACCAATCTAGAGAGAAGCAGCTCACATTTTCTACTGTTCATCAAAAGGCAGATCTTTGAAGCAAGAAAAATAACTAACAAGGCCAATCTGAGCATGATTTGGTCCTGAGATAAATTCCTCCAATTCCGTGAGCCGGCCAGTCTTGGCATAAGCATAAACTAGCTCGGTCTCGATGTACGATTCTCGCGACTTCTTGCGAGCCATTTGAAGGAATCGCACAAGGTCCTCCCAATGTTCTAAAAGGGAAACATTGCAGAACCACATAAAACAGAACCTATCAATAAAGAAATTTTACATACCAGTCTGCGTGCACTTGCTTACAACTTCCATATAAGCCCCTGGATCGTCTGCTCTGATGAATGAATCAACTGCTTCTTTGACCATATCTTGTCTCAGTTGTGCCTTAGCGAGACTTGCCCAGACATCGGATTGATTACACTTTTCAGCAAATTCATAGGCACGATCGAGATTGGCGACATTATCAATCAATACCTGCAATGAAGATTCGAGAAGATGGTAGCCTTGAAAAAGGATACGTAACACAAAATTGCTCACGTTGATGGCACTGTTGTTCACATCGAACTTCTTGAAGATTGCAAACGCCTCCTCGTACAGCTCGCTCGAGATAGCTATATTAGCTATATCTGGAGCGTCGTAGTTGTCAAGCTTTTGAATGTACTCCATGACTCGAGAGCGATCCGCCTAAAGTAGTATTGCTTAACGAATGGAAATCAGACAGCAGCAATCAAAAGAATGTACCCTCATCGCAGTGAGGATGAGCAAGTTCTGCAAGTTACGGTGCTCGGAGAAGGCCGAGTTGTCGAGCACGATTTTCTCGAGCAACTCGATGAGCTCATTAGGCAGGTCAGCTGCCATGAAAGCCTTGACAGTCGCCGATATGTCTTCTGGATCTTGAGTTTCAGACAGAGCAGTTTGTACGACCTCAAACGAAGTATTTACTGATGAGCGGTCTAAGAAGATAGAGACGTCTAAAATACCTGATCAATAAGCTGTCTTCTGTACTGGTTCTCTTCATTGAGTACTTGCTCCCAAAGTCCATAATCGCGGCGGCGAACGAGGTAGCGCGCAAGATTTTTGAACAGCGAGTTCTCATTGCAGACCGCAATCAACTCAGCATCGCACTGGCCACGTTCGTACGCCAAGAATGCAAAGTGCGGATCACGCTTCTCGCAATACCTTAAAATAATGTCTTCGATATGAGTATTCTTCCAAGCACTCTCAGAACATAAGCAAAACTGGAAGCGCACTAAAATGCTACATACAGTTTCTTAGAAGTACTAACTCCAAAAACCGGTGAAACCCTTAATTTCTAGGTCGAATCATAAAGATATGGTCGTTTTTTCTCAAAACTAATGAATCGCAAAGCAGAGGCCAAAAATTGCGCTGCTAGCGATCTTTATTCGCAAACCAAAAAGTTTCAATGTCTGTGCTATAGTTACATTTTAAAACACAATTAGAGGGAGCTGCGAAAGGCTTAGCTACATTTAGCCTTGAGAACCTCTAACTATAGAAAATTTCAAGTTGCTTAACCCCAGTGCCTGCAATATATGAGTAAAGGTCTGTGTCCCAAACCTGCGCCTTTTATCCATAACTTAGCTCTTTAACCAGAAACTTTTTTTCTAAATCTACTTGCCCCTCTATGCTTAACGGAATTAATGTTTTTCATAATTGTCCTCGAATATGAACATCATAGCGGTGAAGAAACTTGTGTTTCTCTATGTTTTTGCGTATTTCTACACTTGAAGGCACCCTACTGTGCGCAAAGAGGAAAAAAAAAAAACCAGCTGAATAGGTCAAATGAGCCTTGCTCACTTGCCAACGACACGACTGTCGTAGTAGGGATTCTCTCTGAGAAAACGGTCGGGATTATTGTTGGCATCTATATAGATCTTGGCCATTGCATTATGAGTAGCTGCATCCGTGGCACCATCCTGTACGCGAGATTCCAGCCAATGAGACAGTAGCTTCAGTCTAAACAAGTCAACTCTAGGGATAGGTTGGTAATTGCTGATTTAGGATTTGTGATTTTTCTAAGATGAAAAAGTCAAATCAACCTAATAAAGACCTCTACGACACCAAAAATGCAATCACCTGTTTCTTTTCTCAACCTCTGCAACCAATTCGTCTATATCGAATTTCCCACGGGTATTAAGAATCAACTGCTTAATAGCATCTTCGGAACAGTCAACGTCAAGAAGACCTCCTACTACAATAGGGAGACGTGCAGAGTTGACCTGAAATATTGAAAAATGCAGGATGAAATAAAACAGTAAATGAAGATGGCACCCTCATAGGCAATTGAACTCACTTTCTGCACAAACACTTCAATATACTTCTGAAGCTGATTTCTGTACAAATAAAGTACAAGATCATGGACCATATCATGTCGATCACAGACGATTATCAATGGTAGCTAAAAACGTGATTGCATATCTATACAAATGCAACAGACGTTAAGATGAAGCGCAAACCTGATCGGCGAGTTTAGCTTCCTTGAGGAAGTTCTTCACGCGTTCTGCGTCGTAGCAGTTCGACTCGCGGCAGATGCGCTCAACTTCTTTGATCTGACCGGTGCGGGTTGCAGCCTCAAAAAGTATAAGGTATTCCGATACTCTAATCAAGGAATTAACAAACATGTTTAGCCGAAAGAATCTTAGCGACCACTCACTAAAAGGAACTGCAAGAACATGAAACAAAGAAGCAGGGTTGAAGCGAGAACGTCCCTAACTTTTCCTTGAAACGGAAAATGAGGTTTTCATGAATCTCACACTTTGCAAATACAACACCGTTGAATTGCTGCCATTTCTGTTTTTTTTTTTTTTCAAAATCATATAAATCCTCATGAGTAGCTTCAAAACGTGATCATTAGCCTCCAAACTCTGTCTGGCTTTAACCTCGGCATGAGTGTTGTTCGCGATAATTATGTCTTCGTGTCACACACGGTTCTTAGGTGGAATAGTTTTATTGGCTTTCGCTATAAACGACCGAACGTTTTGACGCGTCTCGTAATCAGAGGCCTAAACGCAATTCGAGGTGATTTGCACGTCATACAGAAAGTGTCTTAACGTCTTAACCACTACTGCAAACGAGACGATTAATGGAACCCGCACTTCTGGAGCGATACTGAGATGGTATTAGGAGTAGCTAGATGGCTAGTGCGATTTACGCAACTATCTCAAGTTTTCTACTTGCTCTTCATAGCTTCCCCTACGCCTTAGTACCATGGTCAGCCCCTTGCTCATATTTAAATGTTATCAGACATTGATAAACACAAAAAAGTGGCCGAATCGATTGCGACTGACAGCATAGTTGTAAATAATTCCTTTTTGATAAAGAAATCCTTCCACATACTATAACTACTACATATAACTTGGTAAGGTGTGTGGGACCGGAATTCCACAATTTCCCTCGGAACTACAGTATTACCGAAATTGGTATTACTAAAATCGCCCCCATATCCGAATCTTTATAAGGGTTCAAGTAACTGAAGTGCCACTTGTGAAAGAAAACTTCAAACATAAGAAAAAGCCTAATCGCACACAGAATGCTTCGCTTTAGCTAAACTCGCTGCATTACCCACCTGTATATACTTGAAGTGCACTTCGGGATCCTGGCTGAAATTCACGATTGATCCGAGGAAATAGAACAACCCCTCATAGCTTTTGTGAGTCTCGAACATATCGATTAACTTGTCGGTACCCAACTGCTCATGGTATTTAGAAGCAATTTGCACCACAACCTAGAATAATCAAGAAGTCAACTCAAGGAGTCTTCTAACTTCGAAAGACCTCCAACCTGTAGATTTTGACGAATGTTCTGAGTGAGCATAGCTTTCAAGCACTCGAGAGAGTCGTCCACGGACAGAGTGCCGAAATAATTGACCAGCCACTGAATTTAAATGATTTTTGATAAAATATAGCAGCATGATTTCCAGAGAACGTAATTACGCAGATGGAATGAAATAAAACTGGGAAAAAAACTTTCTTTCCTTACTCACATCTGGTTTGAAATGTGTTGTATGCACAACAGTTCGCTTTATATCATACAAATCTGTGAAGTGTTCGAGTGCTCGCTGAAGTAAACCAGCTTTCTCGCAAAGCTGGCCAATCTGCGGCCTGTCGTAGTGACTGAACATCTTATTTCCAAGAATTGCGTCCGCCACCTAAAGCGAGATTAACTGTGAAATAAGAGAAATACCGAAAGTAGGTCCTTTTGAGCTATGACTCACTTGTGGTGCAGCGAGCAGATTCATTTCAAGCAAACGAGTCTGCAAGTGACCTTCTTCAGGTTTGTCACCTTTGAGTACCTCGAGCAAGAACTGCGTGCAAGGTTGCACAGCCTGCACTTCCATGAAGCAGTCAATAATCTGAATGAGACATCAATGGCCTGAGTTAGTGGGAACAAGAACCAATAGGAACCATAAAATTGTGTGGACACGATAAAAAACTGACTTGATTCAAATCAGCTAAGGGCTCTCCATTTTCACTTTCCATCACCATCATCTGAGCAAACTTAGCTCCTGCTTCTTGATTTCCGGAACGCAAAATCTGAAGGGAATAAGTTTGCAGCATTGCATTACATGCCGGTTCACCTTCTTTGAATGGAACACTTCATTTGAAAAACCATAAGCAAAAAGAGAAAAAGTCCAGTGATCACTTAGTCAAAGTCCAACCTGTCTCAGCTGGAACAAATAGTCAGGTTCAAAGCCAACACGTTTTGCATACAGGATGATTTTATCGAATTGGCCTGTCTCAGCGAAGCATTGGACCACCTAAGAACCAAAATAAAAGTTCAAAAACGATACGCATGTGCTTGCCTCAGGAAGCCTAAAAGTGGAATCTCCTCTTCAGAGCACAACATACCTTATGTGGGACGTTACCACGAAGGTAAATCGACAGTGCTACGGTAGGGTCATGAGGACGAACAAGATCTCCCAATTCTTCACAACACTCCAATTTCTGGTCATTGAGCCTGAAAAGTCTCCCAAAATTAGCCTTCTCCACTACTATTGGGGTCCAATGCACCGGAACACAACATCGAAACGTTGCAAAAAGCTTACAACATTTTAATAAATCTGTGATATCTTCAATTGATTATTGCGAACGCTAAGGATGGACAACTGCCAAACAAATGACTTACCATTTGTTGAGCAATTCCTTACGTCCCTGAGCCAGAACAGGACGACATAGTTCAAGTGTCTCGTACTTATTAAGCTTACCCTAAAAAAGCATCATTTCGTTTTATTTTGCTTACTAGGCCGTTTCAACATTGGGGAAAATAACATACTTGGTCAAGCAATATGCCAAAGTACTGTAGCAATGGTGAGGCACCGCCACCAGGATTGGCTGGACATTGTTGGAACTTTTGAATTGTTTGCGGCGTACGAAGAATGCCCTAAAGACATTCGTTTTCATGCACAACTGCGAATTCAAACATAATTATCAAACTTATTGATACCTGAGGAGCCGTGGCTGCAACCTTCGCAGCTTCAGCAAATTGACCGTTACCGAAAAGCAGGTTGAATTTACGCACGAACAGTTCTTCCGCACCTGGAAATGTATTTAATTTCAATGAAGGCGAGCTCAGGAATTGAATCCGAACTATTCTTTTCAAGGATGAAATGATTACCAGGCAAATCACACCGAACGGCAAGTCGAAGCGCTAAGTCCGGATTTTGCAGCTGTTGTGTAACAAAAGGAATCATGTTGTTCTCATCGATCGAAACTGACAACACCTTCAAATGATGTGCCACGCATTATGTAGTTAGGTAAACGAATGCCATTTAATGTCAACACACCTGTCCCTTACGATTTATACCCATTATACCTCCAGTAGCTTGATATTCACATGTTACGAAAACGGTATCCGTGGAAATACGATTTGAATAAATACGAGAACCCGATTCCATATCATAAAGATGAACGAGCCCATGCTTTGTCACCAGATAGGCAATTCCGTGCTTGGATGAAGCCTAAATATGCTTATGTATTTAGATATCGATTGATGATGTCGAAACTGCTTCTTGTTCTTTTTAATCGATATGTCAGGAGTAAGTTGAAACAACTACTTACGGACTGCAACGCTGCCAGCTTAAGCCTAGAATTCGATACAACTTTAGGAAATAAAGAAATGTTATCCAATCTGTGAAGCAGTAATTACGAACGAATTTGACATAATGAAACCGACTTGAAGAAAGAAATCCACACATCGACGTCTAATGAAATGGGTGTCATTGGCATTCATAAAATAACAATTCGTGGAAGGGTTGGACTATGGCAGAAAAACAAAGTACTTCGAAAGTATTTCAGACCTTCGGTGGTGAAATTTCTTTTTCAGAATAATCTGCTTGTTAATCGATAAACTCTCGTCCACTTATTTATTATTCTTCAATATAAAACACATCGTCGTTTACAGATATGTATCAAATTACGCGCCGTATCCTAGTAAACTACACTGACACGCGGAATTGCTGATTCCGAAAGGGGCTATACCATCAATACCGTCAAATTACAAATTATTTGCTCATCGATCCTACACAGTGCTTGAATGACTCTTTTTACTCAGAACGCATGAGTTGTCAACTTGGAAACCAAACAGCAGCGCAATTTCATGAGTTTGCAGTTGAAATCGTAACCAGTTTGCATTATGACTCACACATTCCCAATGCCATCCTCAAGGAGCGAACGAACAACACGAAAAAGGATCTTCAACTATACAAACGGCAACCTGACGTCCGTCGCAGAGTCATAATAGTCACATGTCAAGAAGGACTTTGGGACTTTAGGATAGCACTTTTTTGCTTGAACCTATAGCTCACATTCGCTGGCCACACCTTTGGGCCAAATATGTGTAAGCCAAAATAAAATGAGATTCAGACATGAAACAAACCTGCATCGAAACTGGGAAGTCATTAGCAGTTTCGGCGGTGTAAGGAACGTCAACAGCCTTCTTTGGGAACGGTTGATTTCCAGCAGGGGGCGATCCAACTTCAATGACGTGAAGCTGAATTACAGACACATTATGAGTCTACCCAATTATTACGCAGTTATGGCAAAGTTTCCTATCAGTAAAGAAACCGTCTAAGCTTCCGTCAAAAAAATCATACTACTAGGCCTCTTACCTTTCCTCCGGCCTCATTCTTGACAGAGAAGCAGAACAGGTTGGAAGGATGAGGATTTCCGTCCATTTTGAAGCGAACGAAGGACGCGGCATGACCTTCGATTGGTTGTGAGACCCTCCTTTCGGTGCTGTACAACTGCATGCTTCCAACAACACGATTTTCCTTTAAAAAAAAGTAGTGCAATGTCGTTAAAGTGAAATCCGCTGATCCCCACTATGCTCACCTTGGCGGCTATTCCAACGAGGACCAGCCACTTGCATTCTAAATCCGCACGATAGTTGATTATTTGGCTACCCGCTAACGATTGGTGTCGTTCGAACATTTTCGTCGGCGCACTTTCTCCTAAGACAAAACAAGAACTTCTTCGAAGCAGGAGATGTTGGGAAAATTATTTCATCATACCTTCAATCGACCAATGGTACACAGCGGTTTCACTGACCAAGGCAATCGTTTTTTCATTGATCCACTTCCAAAAAATGATATCCTCAGCATTTTGATGCGCTTTCACCTTTGCTTTTAGTTCGATGTTGAATATTTGTAGAGTTTTACCCGCTGCAATGAAAAGCGAGGTTATGTCGTTGTTGGGATCGATTCATTTTAATTTTAATAGTATGGTGCACAAATGTGCATCAAAAACAGAGAAAAAAGCAAAATAGATCAAGAACGATTGACCGCGGTTAACTTCCAACTAATCAAGTAAGTCAAAAGATATTCTTCAAAGGGAATAGTCCGAATGTTGTACAAGCAATCAGCCCAGCGCTTGCCGGATTTCGTGTTCGGGCGAGCGGAAACCGGTTCTTTCGAGAAGGAATGAGGTGGACACTAATGTCGAAGTCTTCGCTCCCAGAGCTACGCGACACAAATAGGAATGGATATTGATGGCGACAATAAATATCGATGATAACAATAGCCAAGTATGAACCTAGAGAGACGAGAAAGATGAGGGGGATAATTACCGTAAAAGGCACACAATTACGGTCGTCGCCCTATATTGATGATGAGTTCAAGGCAATTTACGTCACAATGACTCTATTTTGAAGCCTTCCTTCACAGTGAAAGAAACAAGACATCTAATTATTATGAAACGATAGAGCAATACTCAGCAAGATTGATTCATATTGAGGATCCGGTTGAAGACTGAAAATTTTGACACATTTCTACGAATAAGGATTTTTTACTCAAACTATTTTGCTGCCACTCGAAGCTTTTATTCGCTTTTTGTGCTGTACTTTACAACCTTACGAGCAAAACCTCCCTGACAAACACTCAAAATATGGGGTCTGTATTTCCCACACCTTCTGGAAAAGTACACCGAACCATGATTCATTACAGTTACTCATCATTGTACATTCCGTAGGGACGGATGTAGTTTAGTAGCAAGGGGTTACGTGACTACTTGAACATGCCAAACGCATGTCCAGGGATCGAATCCCTAATCGACTTCCAACAAGGAAAGTCTTCAATCGATACGGAGATAGGAAATTAGTACCAAGTTAGTTTGGAAAGATAGAAGCATTGAATTGTATACATATATGTGTATATTTTGAATTTTTATGTGGCCTATACAATGAATCGCGGCTAGTCAATTTATTGTATAGGCCACATAAAAAATCAAAATTTCACTACGATTATGGGAATCGAATGCGGGAAAGCATCGCGAAAGTGAAAATATTCGACACCGAAGACTATGGCTTACCCAAAGTACAGAGAAACAAGGAAGTCGAAGTTGTGACAAAAAGGAAATCTGTGATGATCGACCCAATCCCTATCAATTTAGGGCCAGAAGCTGATTTTCAACCACCTATCGACTGATTCATCAATATTCGAAGTTATCACTGAACGCGGAGTGTCATTACACTGACAGATAGTTTGAGTCCAACTTTTTTTTTTCTCAATAAGAAAAAACTTGTTTACATTTCAGAGCGATGATTTTCGCCGAAGGATGCATAATGACAGAGTCGGCGGATATTGGTCGCCTTTGCGGATTCATGGGATCTGCGAGATCGATAATAACCACTTGCTGAGAGTCCCCAATCTATAATGTAAAAGAATGAAATTGCCAATGCTGATGGCGACTATAAGAGAGTATACAGAGAACTGGTCCCAACACCTTCCTTGGACTGTTAGTACATGCACAAATTGGACGTAAACCTCCACTCGGGGAAAAATGGGTTTATTGTTATTTCAGAGACTCTGGAAGAGCTGAAACCCGATTCAATGGAGGTGATAACTAGAAAGAAAAGTGAGCTAGGGACCAGTCCTCCGGTTGCGCTTGTACGAGATCGATAATTACCGCTTCCTGAGAGTTTCCGCTCTAAAAGAAATAGAAATTGATTACTGTTATTAAACAGACAATGGAAACGGCTATAGCGTACCATTTCGCGGACGACAATAAACTTGTCCGATTCCATGGTAACATTTGCGAAGCAAATGTTCTGCGGGCGTATGCCCACATTGGTCAACTGCAAGATATGTTATGTTAAGGTAAAAAAAAAACGGAGTTGTATGGAGAAAATCAATGAAACAGCCAGGATGAAAAGCTATTACCTGCAGGTGCTCATGGAATTTGATTGGAAGTAGCGCCATGATGATTTAATGGTTGATAATGACAATAAATATGTGACAAATCGATATCCTTAGGTTATAAATCTGCAAAGAGAAGTTGATACAACGGGGAACTGATGATATGCTACGTTGAAACGACGAATGGCTCGAACTTCGAGGACCTCACAACAAATCAAGCTTGACGTTTTCCAACTATGAAAACTTGTTGTAGCTTTAGACGACGAAATGCATACAGTACGCATCAAACCTCCGACAACTAGCAAAATAGAAAACAGCATCTTTTTAGTATTTCACGATGCAAACAAGCAAACAATGAGCAATGCCGCAAAAGCCGATTCAGAGAAGGGAAAAACTAAGGGGCAGTCTGGTCCGAGCTGATCACGAAAGGAGAAGAACTGAGCATTGGGAACGGTGAAAAAGCAAAGGAGCCCTAACATAAGCAGTAGCATAAGGTCACGTCTAAAACCAAGGCATCCAAGGTAGCTCAACATAAAACTAATCGATTTTAATCGATGTCAGCCCGAATGATAGTGCCCGGATACTTGGCTGAACGGCATGATAGGCAGACAATTAGATGTCTCGGAAGCGAACAACGGCAAAGGGCTACCCAAGGGCAAATTCAGCGAAGGGACAGCCACCTGGCCACTGACCGGCTGCCAACTGGCCGCGATTCGTCATCGACTGCGTCGCGCGATGAAGGGCGAGCGGCTAGTTGCAGATCGTGGCGGGACCCACCTTGTGTATTCCGCACCATCGCCTTTCATTACATGCTGTATTGCTCACCGTTTAGCCTATTTTGGCAGGCTGTCCCATCAGGCAAAGCATGAAGTGCCAAATCCCTGGTCAGAACGGTACAACATAAGCCTGGTGTTGTGAGGTTTGGCTACACATACTGCTTGCTGGCCAAATTTGTGCTCCAAAACTTTCCCGAAATGGGGGCAGGCCGGAGAAGACTCGAATAATAAGTTGCTTTTTGGCCATCATGGGAATGGCTCTCAACATGAACATACTGATTATGCTGTCAATCGTGCTCTTGAATTTCTCTGTTCTCGAGTTCCTAGATGTATTCCCATCCTTCACCTAGACTCTCGATCGATGAGTGCCAGGTAGAATAAATTAAGAGATTTCCATCACGATTGACAGTAGAGAAAATTAGCTCCCAGTTGGAATTTCGCCTGAGCGAACCCTCTGTCCTCCAGAGCTTGAGTGATAACCTCTTACAAGAATTGACTTTACATGCGAATCTTTCTTGATTGGGAGGGAAAAGAAATTGGAACGGCGTAACCTTCGCCACGAACTGTTCCGGGACTGGGTTCGCCATGGACCACAAAAATTAGGTAGATTCATTTCTTCCATAACCTATTTTATCTGGACAAACTTCTAAGCAAGAATTTCTCACGATAGTCTAACAAGATTGACGACTTCAAGCACAAGTATGGGTTCAAATCCTAACCGATACCGAAGTTTTGCTCATAACTTGCCAACCTGGTGATCATCTCACATCAGGCATTGCGGCAAAATTAGCAGTTAACAAAAACATCAACTTAAAACAAGTTACTTCTAACGATAATTTCGCCACGAGACTGGCTCAGAACACACTCAATTTGGTGGTAAACATTTTATCTCCGTATACATTAATTGATTATTTATATGCTATGGAAAAGGTTTCCTCTCAGAGTCCATGGTTGTGGTGTACGACTCTCGCTTTCAATTTCGGCAATGACGATAAATCGACTGCAGGCGAGGGGTCCGTCATCCTACGGATGTTCACCTGCAATTAGTAATTTCCATGACTGTGGGCCTCTTTGAAAAGTAATAACATATCTAAAGCTTTGATTCCTAGCAGAAGACCAACAAATTTCTTCTTATTGTGACCATCACAAAAAAGCCGACCAGGTATGACTTTTGTCGATTACTCATAGGCCATTAAAAGCGTTTTGTTCAATATATAAAATGATTTCCGAATTTCCTTTCTAGGATAGACCTGTGACCCCCAATGACAGCACATGGAATACTGTCGAGCCGAAAAACAGAATAGACAGGGCGTAAACAGGCTTCTAATCCGGCTCGCCCGACGTACCCTCCCAAAAGCGGACGAGTTTTCACGGCATTGGATAGACTGTAGGGCTACACCATTCGCACAGGATCTCTTGGCAGCTTTCTGTAGCCAGATCCACGCAACAGTACACAACCGATAGCTCAACTAGATACCCGATCCATGCCACTTCGGTCTCATAATCTCGTCCAACCTCACTTTTTTATACTTTCATGAAGCCCTTTTTTGAAATGCTTGTTTTCTTCGCCATCGTTGCTCACTCCCCACCATAACCTCCTTTATTTCACTCAAACAAGGTATCTCGAAATTATCGTGAGCTATCCCTTTAGTCCATCACTTCTGTTGTTCCTCATAGAAGGTGTGTGCATGGCGTACGGCACACGGAATGAACTTTCACCGGATTCGTTGCCATTCATCAGCATCCGGAATTAGAAAAATAGGCTTATAATAAATTTCCGACTTAGTAAAGCTTTGTATTGGCTCGCTTCTCTCAAGAGACCATTTAGTCAGATCAATCGTGGGCGATTGGTCAATTAAAGGGGTGTAAGGTCTTATGGGCTTCACTGCGGGATCTACAACCGCCGCGAATAATAAAAGCTGCATTTGACGTTGAACTACGAGTTGTTATTTTGAATGATTAGAATTCTGAAAGAGGAGTTTAATTTCCCATCAAAAGTCAGCTGTGCAAAAAAAAGATTCGACTATCCAGCTGCGAAGGATTTTCAGGCTCATCACTGTCTTGTTGACAGCTGTTGTTCACTGATAGGTAAGGATACCAATGGATAGATCGGTGATATCTTTTACATTGAGCATTTAAACGTCAACAAGTCATTCTGAGGTACGGTACCTCATCTCGTCGCCTTTTGTGCACGCATTCGCATCGATCGTGGTCGAACATTTGGTCGTGTGGACAGATAGTCGGTTCACATACACATCTGCACTTGTCTTCATTCCATTCTCGGTTACCTTGAAAGTACAGCCATCATCGTCCTTTATGGAGTGGCTCCCAACTCTCTAAGGAGTTTTCGAGAGAGTGAGAAACAGAGATAGAGGGGGAGAGAGAGAGGGAGAGACAGAAAATATATGAAATCCCTATCAAAACAACGATGTAAGTCTGAACGTTTTCGAAAATTATTAGAATTACTATAATCTCATAGAACGTCGAGCCCAAATCCTAGTTGGGGAACATCACAAAAATTATACAGTAATGTAATTTCCTTTCCTAGTTCATTGTGAAAAGGTTACTTTGTTATACTGGGAAGACTCAAATGTCAAACTCAGATATGAGAGTACTGCTGGGAGTTTCGTGAACTCTCCGCCTGAACTGATTCTGTACTGTCAGTATTACAACACTTGAAAGAGTGCACGGCTGGAGTCACTTCGCTGCCCATATTACTACACAGAATGTTCCAAACAAGTTCTTTGCGCACCCAGTAGATAGTTTCACAATTTGAGGTGATAATTATTACTTCATTTTCAAAATATGGGTGCCTTTCACACTTTCAATAAAGTGCCGAACGGCGCCTTTCTAATGCGTAGGTCAGGATATGCCATGTGGGTCATGGGTTATAATGCACCAGTTTGCCAAATTAGGCAGAAAATCATGCGGTGTTAAAGTGGGCAAAATCTCGTCCCAAAGAACATCACAAAGCAGATTTTCCAATCTCAAGGAGGTGACAGTGCGAGCAAACAATGGACAGACGTTATCAGCGCGAAAGAAGGAAGGTGAAAATGTACTTGGGAGGTACCACTTGTCCGATAAGATAAGCTCGCAAAAAAGCTCAGATGGGGTGTTAAACGCTAGAGTACTGGGTGTTCCATCACAGCATTTTCACGAGGTAAGCATCCCACCTACCGTGACTCTCCTACCTTCCTAAACCTTTGAAAATTATGTTCTTTGGCTGAGAATAATTTCAGCATATAGAGTCGTCACGTTTTGGCGCATAGTGAAAGGGAAAGGGGTACTTTCTCCTCTCCCAACTACATTTTCACCATTAGAAGAATTGTGAACACAAGAATCACATAATAACGTCACAATACGGTCGAATCTATTCATCACGAAGCACCATTAAATGTGAGAATAGAAAATTTTATGTTACGCTCACATGCACAAAAGGATTATCAGGAGTCGTGGACGGTTTGTGAGAAATAGTGTCAGTACACCAAACAATCTAATTTTAGAATTTCATTTTCTAGAATGTTTGGATATTGCAGTCTTGACTCTATATTTGCGAACACGCTAAAATCTCGTCCCCTATTTGTTTTTTGGAAGCGGAAAACTGAGAGCAGTGAAAGTACGATTAAATTTCCATGACATGCCTCCTCGTTATTTCATGCAGAGAGTTGTTACAGAAAATTTATTAGTGCACTCATAAGAAAGACGACTGCGTACAGGTGTCAGTTGGAATCTCATGCATCTAACTTGCACTCGGTGAGGTTAAAGACTAAAACAAGCACCTTGCTCAACAACACATACAATTAGTTCGCAGAACAGCTAAGTTGTCCACAGCGCTACACTTACACTGTCGGTCAACGATGGCCACATCCACGAGGCTGACATTGCTGTCTAGTGCTTTCAGTGCCTCGTCTCATTTTTGCGAATAGACCGGGAGTTTTTATAATCTTTGAGGCTTGCTTGATGATCGTTGGAGGAGTTAGTTGTATAAAACCACCTTGACAATTGTGGCGATCGCTCTTATTTGCACACTGACACGTACAGTCCGAGCCAATCACAAAGCCTGGTGGGCATTCGGGAACCTGGAAAACAAAAGTATTAGG